CCAGCTACATGTGACCGACCACGATTGAGCTGATCTTTTGAATTCGATTGTTTACGCAATTTTTTATTATTCTATGCAAACAGCTGCCTATTAATTGAAACTTTTTCATGAATTCTCTTTTGTATTATGAGCAGTGCAGTGGAATGCTGGATTGAAATTGCTATAAAACGTTTGCAGCCGATTTCCTTGAATCGAATATGAAAAAGCTAGATTCCTGAATTCAAAATAAAGAGATGATTCGGCGCCCAAAGGGAGAGCAGAATTCAGAGACCTGACCAGAGTAGTAACCATTCCGCCTGCTCGCTGGTTTCAGATTCAGTTTGCTTTCATCTACTAGCATTAAGCCATGAAACGTGATTTCTAGAATGCTCCAGCATTTCACGTGTTCGCTGAAGAAAATTTTTTTCTTTGTTTGTCATATTGACTGATAATTTGAATTTCTTAAACGAGAGTCTGATTACTCAACGGTTCATTGTATTCTGATAATAAAAGCGTTTAACGATGAGCAGAGACACTAAAGATTAATTTTTACAAATTTTATTGACGTATTAAAATGAAAGATTGCGAACAGGCAGGCAATCGTGAAGGGATTATAAATGAATCAATCTGATTATTTATAAATGATTACAGTGCTTAAGCATTACAACCGTAAGAAAATGCAAACAAAGTAAGTTCTGTAGTTTGAAGATGGTACGACGGCGTTTCTTCATTTACTAAAACAGAAGCAAAAAANAAAAAATTTGATTATTGATTTCGTAATTTATTGACGAAGCATAGACCCCAACCAGGCGAATGGCCAAATCTGAAAAAAAAAATCGTGTAGAACGTTTTAGAACTGCATGGAAAACCGATGGAGAATGTTGTTCTTTACCAGATTCTCGTCGAAAATTTCACTTGCTCAGATGTACAGGTTGCAGTTGACAGCAAAATTTAGCCATTCAGGAGAAATATGAATGCTGTAATTTCCTGTAGTTTGCCTTTTTGCACTCCTCAAGCATGGAGCGAATTGATAGTTTTGATAAGTTCTTATGAGTGCGGTTATACTGGTGACGTATGATTGAGAAATCTTTCTGACATCCAACGGAGAAGTCTCCTCAACACTGATAAAATCACAAACTGAACATAACTTACACTATTTAGAGCAGATCACCCAAACAGCGTGAATTATACCGGGGATATATCCAAGTAATGTCAGTAGAATGTTAATGGCCAACTGAAGAGTGCATCCTACCTCCAGAAATACTCCGAGAGGCTAGAAAATGAATTACACATGAAAATAAAACTTTAGAAATGTCCTCAAACAGTCCTCAAACCGAAAAGAAACCAGTTTGAAAAGAGAGAAGAGGAATTTCTCGTATACTGCATCCAGCCAGCAGTTCACTATTCCTCTCTATCAGAAAAATAATATGACCATTCAAATTTGGTCCATTCTTAAGTGAAAACATTTCCTTCATTTCCAGCATCTCGCCAACATCAATGCATATTCTGGTGAGTGTTTGCTTCTTAAGTCATCCCAATATTCATAGCGCTGATCTAGACCCTATCAAATACATCTCGGAAATGTAAAGAAGAAGAAGAAATAAAACAACTCACCGGAAATATGATTGCAAATATGAGTTTGCAAATATCACTGCAAGTGAAAGGCATTGTTGATTCGGAGTGAGCGTATTTCTACACTAAAATTTATTTTACAAACATATAAATTTCACATCGTTCACAGATACTGCGAAATTTATTAGGCGTTGAATGCTTTCGGAACGTTTGAAGGATGAGAATTCATCAAGAACGATGTTTACTGAAGAAGTTGAATTGAATTGAGAGTAGAAACTCAATGTGGTAGAAACGAAATTATTGTAAACAAAACATATGACAATTCGATGAGAATGATGTGCTGATGATCAATCTTTGCAAAATCCAAAGCATTCTTTAATCTCGGAATCGAGATTCAATCCCGAGATCAAGATTTAACCCTTAGATGGTTATTCAATGGCGATACAACGTTGGGATTGAAAAACAGTCTTAAACTAAAGTCAAAGTAAAGGTGATAACGAAAGATCAAGTAAGACTAATGACATTTGAAAACTCTTGTTGACTGGTTTCTAAAAAACAAAATCCGATGTGGCGCTAACATGTCATTATTCATCCACATATTTTTCTTTGAGTCGTAAACAGATATTACTGAATGTGAATGAATTGGGAATGACTGATGTGCAGTTCAAGATAAATATATGGCCAATATTACGCAAAATGCCCTGGGTTGTTGAATCGTAGAATCCCATCACTTTTAGAAATTTAAGTTCCATGATCAAAATCTTGTGCAAACATTACTGACGATACAGTGAGGACAAAAAACTTAAATAAAGGATGCCAACAAAATTCAGAGCAACAAATTCGGAGTGATCGGTTTTTGAGTTCTTTATTCGTTCTTATATTCACTGAATATGAATCACAGAAGAGATTACTGAGCATTGAACAACGAAATGTGATTCGAATGAACGTAAGAAACGTTATCTGTGGACGTTTGCGTTTGCGGGCGTTGACGAAAATGTGTCATTCAACAAACACTGAAAAGCTTTCAATAAAACACGGAATGCTTCATAATCTAAAATCATTCAGTCGACATAATTGATTTTGTGAGGAAATGACGACGAATGGAGATCATATAAAGTCATAAAGAAATATTGCCTATCAAAGTGCCCACACATAATCTTCTTAGCTCCAAAAAACTATGATTCCTACCCTCTTTATTCTCTCTTCATTTTTCAAAATTTTCAAACAAGGAACAACGATATCAAAATTCAACAAAGATTTTGGACCTACACGTAATTGAACGTACGCCCCCTGAGCAAATGGGATTCTGAAATCACAATGTGACCCCTACACATCATCGGCTCATCCCATGCTCCTTTCAAATCTATCCATGAGATCTCTTGTCTCAATTCATATCATCCATTTATGTCGGCTTTTTGCGCTAATCGCGACACGAATCCTTAAAAATGACTTTCATGTGAACTGGCATGACAGCAATCCGCTCACCGAGTAAACCGGAATATAAACAATTGCCAGCTGAGTGTGACTCGCACTCATAGTGGTGACTCAAAGGATCCAAATAAAAATTTATGTACATTTTCAATGAATAATTATACAAGTCATCATGGTCAGCGTATGTCTCATATTGTTATGAGCGAGAATCTCCTCTTAATACTCACCTTACGTGGCTTATTCTGCTTAAGCATAGGTATTTTTGAGTTTATAAGGACGCAGCAAAAAATTTCAAATTCAAACACAAACAGGATGTTGAGTATACGCACTGCGAGATGAGAAATTCAATAGCTGTTTCCGGAAGTTGACAAGATAGCAGAATGCAAGGATTGCCAGCATTATGTTCAGATAGCGAGCATTTTTTGGCATCTGCTGTCGGCAAGGCAAAATCATCACAATGATCAACGACTAGAAATGGATAGGCTTTTAATGCCTGAAAGGAAATCGTTGGAAAAGGGCTCCGAAAGACAATTGTCACTTAGACGGCGACGTATCCTAATCGCCAAGCTCACAGCAAATGCGATTAGTCCCCACGGTAACCGACCATTATTCCCTGTGAGAAAGCTTTTATGTTCATAAACAAACGAGAATAAAATGCATGGATTCGACTTGGAGATGGATTTAAAACGAAAATTTTGGTTCATCACCGGTATCATAGGATACTTCGCCGAGCGCTAAGCAACAGATGGAAGCACTCAATGTGAATGGTTATTGAACGGTTAATAACCCGGGCAACAATTGATAATATGATACAGCGAGAGGATGCTTGAATTTTGATTTATTTAGAGTTAGTGAACGTGAAGACGTTTCGGTTTAGACGTTTGAAAGATATAAAAGAGTAATATTTTTGTTTCAATCGTGTAAGGAAATGTGCATCAGGAAGACAACAGTAAAATGTTATCAATTAGAAGAGCATTAGCAGTGATAAAATGGCAAAGAGTGAAGAGTAAGTACTGAAGAGTAACTGCATATTCCTGAAGAGTAATTTTTAAGGTCTATATTATTCTTGAAGAAAATCTTTTCAAGCATTTGCTTTGCGTTTGAAATGGTCATTGAATTGATGAGGCTATTGGCCACTCTCCGACGGGAATATCGAGAACGACAAAATTTTTGTGAGTCATGAATGCTGAATGAGTAAGCAAAAAAGACTAAGAAGATTTATCGTTTCTCGATCAGAATTAAAAAATTCCAAAACCGCATCAATTTGTTGATTTAAGCGGACGCATCAACAAGGTGTCAATTTAATATCAGATCGCAAAACCTTTGAAGTAATTAGAAAGTTTTCTGTTCGCAAAACTCCAATCAACATAAACGAAACAAAATTTGAGATTCTCATTTTTTTCCGTATATTTTAATCAGGCAAACAACTTGAACGTCACATTCTGATCCCATTTTATCTTATTCTTGATTATGCTGAGAGTTTATATTTTTATAATGCCTATACCGTATCACCTGTATTAAACCATGCCTTTAATCAGTGTTGGGCAATAGCGCGCTATTCCGCTAGTCCGCTAATAGCGAATAGCGGAATAGCGGAATAGCGATATCGGAAGTTCGAGTGAATAGCGGAATAGCGATAGCAGGAACGGCGCTATCGCTGTTCGATAGCGGGCAACTTCCGCTATATTCCGCTATCTTCCGCTATCAGTTTATTTACAAGTGAATGTATAGTCACTGAGATGCGTAATCATTAAGATATCTAAATTGCGATGTCTAAGTACATATTTGTGCTGCAACGCTCCACTGAATTCGATCTACTGAGCTCCTACGGGCGATTTGAAGTTGAACATTCAATCGTAGTTCGCATATTTTCTTTTAATGCTCCCCTATCATCTCGTTTCAACTCATAACATTATGTGACTCTTATTGATTTCAGTGGTGCTGCGAGGAATTTTTCTTCGTTTTCATTTTTTCATCCAAGCTTTTTTCCGTTTTCTTTTTAGATCGTGTTGATCGTTATGGAACCAGTTGGGCGTTGTCACGCATGCCAATCGAGGTAGAGATCCAAATGAGTGGATTGCTTTCCGATGATAATTGCACTTTCCGATCTTTCTCCCAACGCTTTTGCTGTTGTGTTTCTGGGGATGACGACGGTGATATGTCGTTTTTACAGCAAGATGATGAAAAGCGATAATGACGTGCAAGGAGTCAATGTGGAGTCAACACCTGGCCCTTGGAAAAGTTTGACTGAGTATGTGATTTTCAAGAGGGAGGAAAAGGACAAATATGTAGTAGAGTGCAAGGAGTGTGTGCCAAAAAAACATGAAATAAGTTGTCATAAAAGCAGCATGTTCAATGTGAAAAATCATTTTCAAAAGAAGCATCCCACGAAATATGCTAAAATAGTCGATGCAATAAAGAGTGCGTCTAATCGCGGCAAGAGGTAGGTTTTGTGTTATTGCAAATTCACATATTTATGACTTGTGAAGTTCGGAGTTACGTATGTATCCCTTTAAGGCATGCTCAGTGATCTGTAATTTAGAAGTGTTGATGTATGTAAAAGTACTTCGTGGGACAGCCGTCCAATGACAATTGACAAATCGCTTCGTTTTGCGTCTGGATCGGCTGTCATGCAAAAGAATGTGGACCGGGCGCTTTTGGACTTGGTGATTCTTGACATGCTGCCGTTGCGTATCGTTGAAAGTGTTTCATTTCGAAAATACAGCATGACACTGAATCCCTCAAAGGTATGTTGCAATTATCAGATACTTGAAGAAATTATTAAAGATTGACTTTGACATAGTGTTAAACCATTAAAAATTTGTGCAAACACCAAAACTAAACTATCCATTGTATTTTTCAAGACGNAAAAAAAAATTCAAATCATGCAGGATAAATTATTTCATGAAGTGGAGATATACTAACTGACTGCAGTATGTGCAACAATAGTTACTATTGAAATACAGAACTATTTGTTCGGTATGAATTCGTATGAGCATTAATATTAAAGATTTACTTCGTTGGGGCAATGTAAACACAACATTCAATTATTCAATGTATAGCGTTAATTCATGCCAAATCCACGATCATAATGTAAATAACGACATTGGAGTGCAGTAAAAAGAGAGTATAGCTCACTATACGCGGTTCAGTCGAATCCGTCGATAATATTATCGCATTATAAAAAATTAACAGAAAACTGATAGTAAAAAACTACCTGTTACAAAAGAATGTTAAAATTATAGTTTTAAAGGTGACTGTATTCAGTTTTAAACACTCAAAATCAGATGCATGAATCAAGGGATCCTCCACCAATTGTACATTTGGCTCTATTAATTACATCAGTTAATTTTGTGAAAAACTTCAAAATCAATGGTAAACTTCAGTTACACAACAGTTTCGCGAACGAACTTGTTGCTTGTTATTTTCAACAAATAATATAAGTTTTCTCAACAATGAAATCATCTATAAAATATGAAAGTGAACAATATGATGAGATAAATTCGAAACATTCACTTGGATCTATTGAACCTGTTTGCATTCAACGAACTTGAACCAACTGTACGCAGTATTGTGTAGATGAGAAAGTTGCAGAAATACTTTCGACTTCGCGTTGTAGAAATGAGTAAACAATAACTTACTGAATAAAGCTACTGTGTTGAAAACAGAAATTGAATCTTGTTTGCAGAGATGGTGGAAGAGTGAAATTACTTGTATGAAGTAACATAGAGTACATGTAAACATCGACTGTTTTCTTGACGTAAAAAGGTATGAGGTAAAACGATTCTATTGTTTAATAAAAGCAAAGTTTGATGATTCAGTGTAAATATCAATGAATGAATGAATAAAGACTTGTATAAGCGATACATTCATATGTATTCATACATTCTACGTGTTCTTTAATGTATATTTCATGATGAAATTTTTAAACAATCCACTCTTTACATCGATAGGTTTAGATCGTTAAGTGAGGAGCAGTAGGGAAAAGTGAGACGTAGCATGCTCCAGAAAACCGAGCTTCCTTTACTCCGGTTTACGGACAGACAAGCATGCGGTTTCCGAAAGAAGCAGGCCGTATTCGGAAACATTCATTCGGAGTTTGGTTTCACCTGATCGTAACTGTTTTGAGTCGTATCGCTAAGGTGCGCTTCGGGTGAACTGGCCCTGCCAGGCTTCTAACTGTATTGACAGCTATTAATTGGCCATCGCTGGCCGATATAAGTAACGTTGCCAGGCAACTTTGTAGCAGTTGTTATTCCACATTGTATCGCCACACAACTCAAAAGTTAAAAACAAGGAAATGATCTGAAAATTATTAAACTGATATTCATTACCTAAGAATCCACAAGTGAAAATTCTTTCACAAAAACGCTCAGAGAACAAACTACCTGAAATCACTCTGAAATCAACTCAATAAGATAATGCAATAGCATAAAAATCCTTTCTTAAAGCATTTGTGTGTGTTTGTGTGTGAGTATGATTCATATAATAAAGCTAATAGTGTAAATCGAGATTTGATATCTTGCGGCAGACAGCTGCTAGCAGATCTAACGCAAAAATGAGAGAACAAACAAACTGAGAAGTACCTAATTTTATGAAATACACTCGCTTGCTGGCATTGAATGAAAAAATTGCGTTGTTATTAAATATATCTTAGTACTGATGATCTATTGATAGAAGAAACTGCAATGATATATTGTCAGGCGACAAGCGTCTAACGACAACACAATTGAAAACAGTGCTATTTGATGTTGAAAAGTGAACATGAACTTATGCATGTAATTTTGTTGACATGCGAATTCGTCTGGGGCAACAAGTTCGATTTGTACTCACAGTCACCTCAGTGCCTTAATGCTATTGATTGTACTCACTGAGGTTCACTGTTCTAATCACATCGGAATACTTCCGACTTGTGAACAGCCTCAGCAAAACATAATAATCTACGTACAATCTCAAATCTCCCGTTGTAATCCACCTATATGATTGCTCAATTAGATGGAAGGGAGAGAGGGATATAGGTTCGGAAACAAAAATTTTCCATTATCTCAAACCCAATGAGCAGCAATAAATGAATTTCTTCGAAGAATATGTCACAGTTGTTGCTATTTTCCAAATCTAAGAAAGTGCTCCCGTATACAATGCAACCCTATGGACTATAAGTGAGAGCTCCAATGAAAATCGAGAATAAAGATAAGCAGTGGAAAATATTGCTTGCACGAAACGTATGGGAGGAGGTGGCTTTAAAATGGTATTTTATTTGCAATCGGTATTGACGTTCAAATGAATTGTACAGAAACGAAGTAGAGTAAAAAAAGTAATTGTATTTTGTATTGATGTTGAGTTGTTTTGAATGGCGTGATGAATCGTTGCTGTGTAATGCCGTTTCGGAAAACTTTATTCAATCACATTAAACTGCACCTGGAAAAAAANAAAAAAAGGCAAAATTCATTTCCCATATTTCCAAGGTTGTCTAGTCATGATGCGAACAATTATTGCGAATGATCATACTGAGTGCATAAATATTTCATCAAGAAACCTATCATTTCCGACAACGCTTTCCATTTAGCGATTGAGAAATAGGCTTGATTCACTGGCCAATTCACGAGATGAATTGGTATACATTAAACAAGAGCTGCTTTACAAGGACTTAATTTTGCTCCGATATATTCGATGCTTTTTCTAATATGAGGAAGCAGCTGAGGTATTCTTCGAATGACAGCAGGGGTTTCTTCAACAAAAAAAATTACTCACGTCTTGATGTTTCGTTCAACTGTATATGACCCAAATAGCATGGATGATTCCTGGTATATATCCAAGTAATGTTAGAACGATGTTAATGGCCAGTTGTAGACCACATCCTGTTTTCAAGAACACACCAAGAGGCTATAACATACCCTCATCTTTAGTGTCCACGCGAATCTTGTAGATGACTACGGAAACAAACATACAACAGTGAACCGTAGAAGATATACGATACTATCAAGCATATTCAGTTTGAAATTTGACGCCATTTTTGGATATATGTTCATTTTTCACGCATACCATCATGGTGATACAGTCTAACGGTTAGTTAGGACCTTCTCACAGCTGTACTATAGTTTTGAACCATTTATCCGCGGCTTAAAAAGGAATTGAAAGATAGGTACGATTTGAGATCAAAACATTTTCAAAGGCGATCGCGCATTTCGACCGCCCGAAACGTTAAATGCCCTCTTCATAGTTATCTGTCGCAATTAAGACTGCTGCTTATTCGGAGCATCAGTCACCAGTTGTTTCCTAGGAATACTACGTCTCGACTGCGTCCCATTCGTTGGAATGTGATGCGTTCATTTTGAGGGCCCCACAAGCTGAAACAATTGGACTATAGAAATAAAATTATTATACCGGGAAAATTATGGCGAAGATAAGCGTAAGAATGTCCTCACAAGTGCAGTCCACCATTCTGTCGATACTTTCTCCTTCTGTAACAAAATTCAATTAATTCTGCTCAGTTGCAACCGATTCGATCATTAAGGCAATCGAACGTGACTAGCAAAAGAAAACGCGCAAAATCATGAGAGTAGACCACAAAATTGCTGATTTATGCAAAACTTAGACCAGATTCAGGTATTTATAACACGTCGAAGCGCGTAAGGCGGAGGTGAAGACTGACATGAGGATGAGATTATACAGCAATTGACGTGTTCGGTTCGGTCGTTAAAACCGAACTGAAACAGTGACAAAATTTAATCTTTTCAGCAAACTCAAAGATTTACACAACCAAAAACTGAAACACAAACTTACCTGCTTATTGCACTGAGCAGCAGTGTGCAGAAATAAAATTTCATGCGAATGATGAAACGAAACCCTCCAACTGAACTGGTTTTCCTATTGCAATAGAACCCTACCGAGAAAATTTCCAGCTCCTCCGGCATTATCACTTTCATCAATAACTACCCACGCACACAGATAAAAACTAAGGAATTATTCCCCACTTACCTATTACGAAATGCACTCACGCACCGATGCAAACAGGAAAACTTATTACGAATTGCGCAGTTTTTTTTAAAATTATTTATTGCGGAATGTAGTTTTGAGGTAATCTCCCCATGATTTTAATTTAACTTCATTAGTACAACGATAATCCACATAAAGTTGGCAGATTAAACTAGAAAACATAGTGATTTCAATTTGAAAAGTTTAGTGAGAACGCACTGATGCAAACAGAAATTATTCGCTTCAAACTTATCATCTAAAATTTAATCGGCAATTTTGTACTTACAAATGTTTTGAAATCACAACGAAAACGAAAATAATCGAAAATAATCATTGAGAGTTTGGATAATTGCAGCAATCAAAACGTTTAGTTGGAAAATAAAATTGCGACGACGAAACGGAGACGGAGACAGAATGTGGTAAAAGGTGGATGGAAGTTTGCGATGAACTTGACATTATAAGAGTGGAGCTGGTAAAAAAGTTAGGCGAGGTACTGAATAAACTTGTTCATGTTGTCTGCCGCGTTGAAACAGGTAACACTGAACAGGTATGCAGTTCAATACAATAGTGCTATACCATCACAGATGTAACATTTTATATACCCGAATCATTTTTTGATTTGATTCATGATCAGCCAGCAGAACTGTATTGTACCTAACAAACCATTGACTTATTACTCATAACTTTACAGTTTCCCAGAATAAACATTGTCATACCTGTTCACACCCTATGTGATTCAAATTTCTTTTCAAAACAACGTTACGCTCAAGAAGTTGAGCATAACGTTTCACATACCCGAATCATTTTGATTTGATTT